TAATTTAATATTTCAATCTGCTTCTTTTGCTTGACTTTTTGCAATCTTTGCTAAAACTTTCTTCCTTGATAATTTCGTTTCTTTATCTAAATTAAATTATAAAGAACTTCCGATGACACCATAACTCTTAAGTTCCGTAGCGGATTTGATTTCATGTTTATATTTTTTATAAACGATTTCACAATTATTTCTCCAAATGAACTCTTAATATAAATATTAGAAGTGCCGGGGGAAAGAAACTAATCACACAATTCCATGCACACAATCGAAAAAATAACTCGGCACCTCTTTGAGTAAATAGTGGTAGTTGACCAAGAAAATTGATATTTTGACTAAACAAAAATTAATGAACAAGGCATCAAATTATGAGAAACATACCGCGGATTAAAAAAAAGCTAGTTGTAATTAGGTTGCAGCCATCATCAAAAGTCACAGCCAGTATTCTTGCATCAAATGATTTGTTGTCAGCTTTCTAAGGAAAGGCATAATGGAAAAGAGGTTATCCTTATAAAGATTGTTAATTAAATGATCATTGGATAATCGTGTAGTTATCCACAAAAAATATCCGCAAATTTTGTGATAAAATAGAACATTAATGGCACATTAAAAGCAGTAGTAGCAGTAACGGTACCAGCAACAATTGCAGTAGAACGAGAATATGACAGTGGTAGTGGTAATAAACTCGCTCGCTCACTAATTGTTCGCTGTGATCAACGTTACACTTTCCATATAAATCTTGATTTTCCCTAAAATTTTCTAATCTTGGTAAAAGCCTAAATTTATTTTGTCACGTTTTTATATCCAAAAAATCAAACTTCCATAATGCTATATATTAATTCAGAAACATTATTAAGCAAACTATACATTTAAACAATATATATGAATTGATTTATGAACTGCTAATTCAGATATCTTTTCTGTGAGTTAGAATATTTTATAATTTTGTGGATAACTACACGATTATATTTGAATGGCAAATTACAAATGATAATATAAATAGTGGTAATTTGGAGATGGAGATATTTGGTTGATGATGAAAGTGAAATAATTTTCTTTCCATTTTTACACTTTGTGCCACATATGACCAGCATTGTGTAGTTGGAACATTGTAATTGAATTTCATTGGTTAATTTCATTGGAACCACATCTGGAAAATTCCAATTCCAATTGAAATTTGTTGGAATGCTCTAATGGAAATTATTGGATCCATGAATGGCACAACACTGCATATGACTGTTATATTGTTATAAAAAAAATTTGTATTCCATTGCTAATTGCATCTGAAAACCATTTCATATGACCTATATAACTGTCTAAACAGATTCTTTCTATGACAAATACTTTTTCTAATCCCAATGATCTGTTATAGAGAGAGTGAACTGTATTGGTTTTTTTCCATGTAGTTATTTCAATCTTATCCAAATAATATTATTTATTAGTAATGATCTTGATCAAAATAATCACCAGAAAAAGAAAATAAATCTTCACATTTTTTGTTGAAATAATTGGGTAATGGACAAAACACTTCTATTGGTTTAGAAAGTATTTTACCCTCTGATGTTC